GGGCTGCGGCGAAAGGCAGCTAGGGGCGGGCCCCGCGTTTGTAGGTTAACAGGGGCCCAAAAGGGAGGCCACAAGGGGCGTGGCCTCCTCCTCCAAGCTGTTGCCACGACTCCCAGGGGAACCCAACACTCCGCTCCCAGGGCAAGAAGACCCTGGAAAACTTGACTCAGCTGGGTGCTAGGCTGTGGGTAATTAAAACACATTTCCTCGGTGGCTCAGCCTGTAATCCCGCGCTTTGGGAGGCTGAGGTGAGTGGATTGCCTGAACCCGCGGGCTCGAGACCCGCCAGGGCAACTTGGTGAGACCTCATCTCTACAATAAATCAAAAACTAGCCAGGCGTGGTAGCGCACGCCTATAGTTACTCGGAAGGCTGAGGCGGAAGGATCGCCGGAGCCCAGCAGGTCGAGGCTGCGGTGGCCGGGAGCGGCCACTGCACTCCAGTCTGGGCGACAGAGTGAAACTCCAACTCAAAATAAAATAAAATAAAACACACTTCACAGACTTCCTAAGGCTAACTGGCCACCACACCAGACTTCCCATCCAGGGGATGTAAATAGAGAGGTCAGGTGGCAGTCTCCTTAAGGAACAGCCTGCATGTGTGTTTGACCCTTGCATCCTTCTTCTGTGCTCCTTCCTGACGGCTGGAGCTGGAGCAGCTTTACGGACTGTGAGGTAGCTTGGAAACAGTGGAGCAAAGACAGAAAGATCCCAGACCCTGGGCTCTATGGGACAGAGCAGCACTGGACTCTCCATCCTGGGTGTTGCTGTGCAACAGGGATCAAGTGTGTCTTGAGAAGAGCTATTGTCTGGGACACACAACAGAAGTACAATCCTAACAAATAGAGTTTCCCACCAAAAAGATTTGACCCCCTTACGGCTGGCATCGCAAGGCCACATGCCACACAAACATGCTCTCCCTTAATCTTTGGAACAACTGACAGGCCCCACTGCATCGATAAGAAAAGCAAGGCTGCAAGAGAGGAAGTGACAGCCAAGTGAGGTAGGAGACAGACAGTTGCAGATGAGGCTTCACCACTTTTTCCGGGAGGCTGACAGGGTCCTGCAAACACAACCCATTTGCTGGAAGAGGACTTTATTGGAGGGTGTCACCCCATAAGAATCGCAAGAAAAAGCCAGGTTCAGTGGCTCAGCCTGTAATCCCGCGCCTTTGGGAGGCTGAGGTGAGTGGATTGCCTGCGCCCGCGGGTTCGAGACCCGCCTGGACAGCGAGACCTCATCTCTACAATAAATCAAAAAATCAGCCGGGCGTGGTAGCGCATGCCTGTAATTCCGGCTACTTGGAAGGCTGAGGCAGAAGGATCGCCGGAGCCCAGCAGGTCGAGGCTGCGGTGGCCGGGAGTGGTCACTGCACTCCAGTCTGGGCGACCGAGTGAGACTCCAACTCAAAAAAAAAGAATCGCAAGAAAAAAACCAACCCGTCTTTCGAGGAAGAGCTCAAGGTAAGGGGGAGAGGCAGCTCTTCCTCCCGCCACAGCCTCCAGAGCCTTGGGATCGCAGTGAGGAAGGATGGCTTCCTCACCTCAGACAGCCCTGACACCTCATTGTCCTCATTTTATAACAGAGCCCAGAGCCCAGAACCCAAAGTGGAACACACTTCAGAGCCGCTGAGCCACACACAAAATCAGAAAGGAGACTCTGGCCTGGAATCAGCGCATGGCTTCAAAATCCTCTCCTCCTTCAGGTCTGGGACAAAGTCTCCAAGCTTTTGAAGCCAGTGACCGAAGATGTCAACTGTCTCAGGAATGTAAGCTGAAACGGACTGGGATCAGGGCTACTGTAAGAGGAAGATGCAGCCGGGCTCGTGGCTCAGCCTGTAATCCTGCGCCTTTGGGAGGCTGAGGTGAGTGGATTGCCTGAGCCCGCATGTTCGAGACCTGCCTGGGCAGCGAGACCTCATCTCTACCATAAATAAAAAAAAT